CGAAGGGTAGGGTAGGGGGACATTAGCCTTTAAGGAAGAAAAAATGAAGGAGGTATCAAATATTTTAGGCAAATTTCTTTTCCTAGAGGAGTTCCTCCTTCCTGCCAGCAACAACAAATATATACCATATATGCTTTAAACCATTATGCTTTAGTGGTTTAAAAACATAACAAAACAGAAAACCAAATCAAACAATATATAGCAATTAACAAAAAAACAATAAAAAATTAACACTCCTTACGTACCAAGAAGAAAGACACAGAATTAATTTCATCCTTTACTAATTCTAATGTGTTTTTATATGTTTTTCAGTCTCGCCCTTGGATTCCTAGAGTCAGGATGAGTTGAGGAACGTGCATGCTTCTCAAGGAAGTAGGTCCTTCTACTGTTGTGGTCTCATCTGGGCTGGTGCCTGCTGGATGTCCCTCTGATAGGGTGGAATTAGAGCCTGAATTCTATTAAGCTCATCAAAATGGATTACCAACTGTTCCCCCTAGAGCTATGTGATAAAGTCCTCTTGAAATTCTCCACCCTATTTGTGAGCGGAGAAATTGAAAATTCAGTTTCACTGAATTTCTCTGGCACTTTCTTCATTGTAGGGCTCATCATTAGCTGTGGCGATGCAGTGCAACTGGCAACAACAGTGTTGTCAACATGGCTGTCATTCTGCATCCTCCACAATGCCCTAGCATCATATGGAAGGGTAGATAATGGTGGCCACTACACACATGTGTCCAGATTCGATTTTTTTAGCCCCTCTTCTTTGAGCCATTTAGCTCTGCTCCATGTGCTGCATCAAGCTATGGCACCCACAGTTCCCATTTCTGAAAGAATTCTGTATTCGTTTGAAGCTCTGAAGACCAAGTGGAACACCAAAGTGTCTACATATCAAGCCAGTAAGGGAGATATGGACCATTGCAAAGTATTTCAGTAAATTAGATTAATTGTTTAATCATACATAATGGTGTTCATATAAATCAGGCTCATCTGGCTTGGATCAGATTCTCCAGAAAACTACAGAATAGCTGGGCTTAGTCTAAGCCAATCTGAATTGATTTAGAACTAGTGCTTCTTTTTTCTAAAAAATGTTTAGGGGTACTCTCATTTTCCTACTCATATTGAAATACTGTCCCTCAGTAAGGCCAAAGTTAGATTCACAAAATGTTTAGGGGTATGTGTACCCTTGTATCCCCCCAGAAAAAGCACTGTTTAGCACCCATGGGATTCTTGAGACAGGATACAAATTGTAACCCCCTATCTCCAAAACTATTCTCTCCCTCTCTTTCTAGGGTTCCAAGTCACAAGGAAAGAAATATGTGTGTATACAGGTCTATCTGGCCTTATAATAAACATAGGAAGATTGGGTACTGTGTTTCTGGATATGGCTATTGTTGCATCTACATGAGGATAACTAGTGACATTGAAAGTAGGATAAATGCACCAGTTAGGCAAGGAGGGAAGGCCCCGTCTTGCTGAACTCAACAAACAAAGGGGCAGATCTACCTAAAGGAGATGTGGTCCACTGAGGGCAATGTGTGAGGCTGTGTAGGAATGTGTTCTTACTAGTCCACATTGTTCAGGAGTAGAGTGAGCTCTCTGCTGAACTAAGTGTCATTTCCAGATGCTCATCATGGTTAATGCCAGGCGGAATGTGCTATAGAAGATTGCACTAAGGCTATGTCTATTTTAAGATGAAGTAGAAAATGTTAGCTAATGGATCTATCACAGTCTTAAAGTCTGGTTTAGAATAGTCCATGGTTGATTTAAATGCTATTATAATGCGGCCCATTGTCAAAACCATTCAGAATCTCATTTTCTTAACAGACTTTTATACAGTCTTTAACTTGACCATCACTAGACTTCTGGAAGATACTGAAACATTACACTGATTAAAGTTGGAAGACATGAATAGAGATTAGGATATTCTGTTCACACTCTATATGCTTTTATAGATCTTCTTTAGAGACTCTGAAACTGACCGATTGGAGGTTGAATACTGTGCTAGGAGAATGCCAGAATATTTACTAATTTTTAATATTTAAATATAGAGTGCTTTACAGCAACAGGCTTTTAAATCATGATCTTCATAACATTTTAGAATCTTATTCTGTATAAAACAAGGTATATGTCAGTGTTTAAAACTCAATAGGCATGAAAAGTCAAAGACAGGAATGGGATTTTTTAAAAAGAAAAGAAAAAAAACCTCAATGTTTGTCGGCTCAGATTCCCACCCCCTAATTTCTGCATTGCTCCTTAATCTTGACAAGAAACAAATTTAGTTTTAACAGTTCCACTAAGAATATGCACAATTCTTGCGTATTATATGCATTCAGCAATCTATACTTACATAATAATCATCATAAAATAATGCTGCAGAAATATACCACATAGGGCTTTGTTGGCACTATATAAAAAAATATACAGAACCTTTGTGCATATATAACTTTTGTATGATCCTATGCGTTCTTGGAGTGGGACACGGGTGGCAGTGGGACGCGGTGGCGCTGTGGTCTATACCACTGAGCCTCTTGGGCTTGCCAATCAGAAGGTTGGCGGTTCGAATCCCTGCGGCAGGGTGAGCTCCCGTTGCTCGGTCCCTGCTCCTGCCAACCTAGCAGTTCAAAAGCACATCAAAGTGCAAGTAGATAAATAGGTACCGCTCTGGTGGGAAGGTAAACGGCGTTTCCATGCACTGCACTGGTTTTGGTGTCATGCTGGTCACATGACCCAGAAAAACTGTTTGTGGACAAACACCGGCTCCCTCGGCCTGCAAAGCGAGATGAGTGCTGCAAACCCAGAGTTGTCTGCGACTGGACTTAACTGTCAGGGGTCCTTTACCTTTTTTATGCATTCTTGGAATTAAAGCTGTAATCCTGCCCGCTTACTGTACATACCTGGAAGTAAGACTCATTGAATTTAGTGAGACATTACTGAGTGGGCAAGCATACAACTGAGGCTAACTTCTAAGTCGCATAGGCTTATATTTCAAAACAAGAGTTACACTTAGTAGCTCTATCAGTAGACCCTGGCTGGTGCGATGCCTCTCAGCACCACTGCACTCCGCAGAACAGCATCATGAGCATGTTGAGTCTGCTTCAATTTGGAGTAGAGTCCCCTTTTAAGCAGGATTAATGAGGGACATGTGCCAGGCATCCTATTTCACCCACTGTAAATGAATGATTCAGAGCGGAGGGTATATGTACCCCTCACAGAAGCACACAATCTGAAGCAAATCAAAATAGCTGTGTATTTCTAAATGGCCCACCCCTGAAGCTCAAAGCTCTAATTCCTCAGACAGACTTTACTATTATATTGCAACACTTTTCTTACTTTTAACCCACATTTATACTTTGCTAGCTCAGTTTATGATAGTATTTGCTTCAGTCAATTGCTATCTGTGTGAAAGGGACCATTTTTGCCGCTTGCTGAAAAGTCACTTCAGACTCCTGTTGTCAGCTGATGGTAAGCACAAAACCAATGCATATTACGTACATGACAGAAGCTAGAATGTCTTTAGGAATGGGAATCAAACAACATTTGTGACATGGAGTGCCTCGTAAATACATGGTGCCTCCATTAACATTCTGCCTATCAAAACACAAGATACCTTGCTTGTGTAGGAGCATTTTAAGCTTCAGGACACAGGCAAATAGCTAACTTAATGTGAGCTAGAAAGAAGCTTAGCTATGTTATTCCCTAATTGCCAAAGGCAAGGTTTCTTGTACTCCCCTCTCAAGCATCTGGTTCATCAAAAGATGCTAGATTAAATTGATAACTAGAGTTATTGAGTCAGAAGACTGTGTGATGTAAATTAAGTAAGTCTTTGCTTAGCATGAATTATCGAGTACCATGCTTATACATATACTAATAGCCCCCTCTCACAAGTCCATATAATGCTAACCAAATTCCTGTGACTGGAGAAGGGTATAGAATATTATCCCCCCCCCCAAAAAAGCATAGTCCTTAGATTTGTAGCAAACAAGCCCTTCACCAGAGGTTCTAAACATAGAGGGAAAGTAAAATATCACAATATTCTGTAAAATATTCTGACACTGGGAAGATTAACAGCGCCCATACTGATAAAATAACATTCTTATTGGGCAGTGGTTCTTATAAGTGGGGATCAAGCACTGAACATGGATCCTAGTGAGGACTTGGTATGATGGGATCCTAGTGCCCACTTTCCTCCTTGTTATGGGATGCTGGGATGGAAACAGATGCTAACCTCTGATGGGAACCCAGAAGGACTGCATTATTCTCACCATACCTGCTGCATCTGGTGAGACATCATTTTGAGAGTTACAACGGGGGGGGGGATTACCTGCACTATTCTGTGCTGTAAGACTGCTTAACATGGGTTGTTTTTTTGGGTGGGGGGCTGAGGTGGGGGGGCTGTTTCTGTTTAAGTGAGAACATCACATATGGAGGTCATGGTTTGTTTGTTTGTTTGTTTATGACTTCTATCCATGTATTTTCAGTAGGGTAATGTTATGTAATGTAATGTATTAAGTAACATTCTCCACTCCAATTGTAATAGAAATGACTACAATGTATGTATGATACATTTATCCTTATGTTCAATGCACCTTCATGTTTAGAATCAAATGAAATCGCATTTCTGACTTGCTTTTGTGGCATTAAGAGGCTCAAATGAATATCTTGCCCAGGACTATCCAACCTCTATGGCCACTGATTACCCCATGCATAAATTGAGCAGCCCATCCTTTTTTTCTTTTTTTAAAACAATGTACAGCATGCATGAAATCACTGAATTAGAGTATCTGACTTCTGACACCAGGAATGCAAAGTCCCATTGAATTCAGTGGGATTGAATTCTTCAGGCTTGAGTTTCTAGCCTTTGACTGATCAGTCTTGTTGTTACCAAACATGTTTTCTACTTCATAGTGATAAGCAATTAGAATAACAGAATCCACAGAACCGTAGAGTTGGAAAGGACCATGAGGGGCATCTAGTCCAACCCCTTGCAATCCAGGAATCTTTGGCCCAACATGGGAATCACACCCACAACCCTGAGATTAAGAGCCTCATGCTCTACCAACTGAGCTATCCAACACATCTCTTTGATCAACAGAAAATATTCTTTGGGGCACATTTCCCTCAGTTGCCATTTTGTGAGGTCCTGTTTTTGGAAAGATCCCTGATCCAGAGTGCACCAGTTCTGATCAGATGTGAGAAATTTGGCTTTATATGGAGATGAAGGAAAATACCCAGCTACAGGTAGCAGAGACTAAACCACTCTGTTTGTATAGCAATATAATCTACTGGAGTACCAGTTTGATAGCATCATGTAAACCCAGCCAATAACTCCTTTGGGGATATAAAATATGCAGTGACTTATGATAAAGTTACACGATGCTGACAAGAGGTTATAGTGATGCTTAGCAATAGCAGTATTGCTAATTACATTGCTATAATAAATAATACTATTAGTTCTTCTCTAGCATAACATATCCTTATGGCACTGTAAATACAGATAACACAGCCAAACAAATTTGTCTTCTGACATATGACAGTGTGATGACAATGGACACAGCAAAAATGCAGGGCCTAAAATACTAAAAAACACACTTTCAGACACTGCTACATGGCCCCAAAAGTTTACATAGAGATTTACAATTGGATACTTTCTAATTAGACACATGCAATGAATACAAATCAGCATTCCAGATAGAGTAACATCTGTTCCAAAGTAAGTTGCAACAACAGTTGCACTTCCTTTATAAACATCTGTAGCATTTCAGCTCTTCAAAGATGTCAAATTCATTTTAAGCCAGGACTTGCTTTTTGGAACTCTAAAAAAGGCACAGTGCCATATTTTTCACATACTGAAGATACAAAATGTTCTTGCATTTTGCAATTCAGTGTGTGTGCATGTAAATACACACAGACACAGACACACACACACACACAGAGAGAGAGAGAGAGAGAGAGACCCTTTCTTAATTAAACTTTTTTTTTTTTTTACATTATCAGCCATAAAATCACTTTCTATATCCTTGGATAAATCAACATTGTTGGAAAATATACTCCAAGCTCATTTTTGTTTCCCATGTCTAAGAGTGATAATTACTTTTTGCCCTTTAACAAATCATGACCCAAGTTCAGAAATTATCTTTTTGAGTAGTTCCTCAAATGCTTCCCCTGGTTAATACGAAGGAAATTCAGAGAAATTCACTGTGATTAATCCACACAAAATGCTCTTCGCAACTGCTTTGCCCCTAGGAATCAGACCGCACATCCCGATGCTGTAAGGCAACCTCACAACAGTAAGGTTTTAAACAAACGTTGGCTGTGGAACTATCCAAAGCACCAAATCCATGCTGTTGATGAATATCAAAGGAGATTAGATAAGGATGATACAAAATAACAATCTTGCCTTGGATGAAATTCTAGATTTGGGGGGAGAAAACTGTGAATGATTATAATAGGAAATAATAATGATTTTTTTTTTAAAAAAAAAACCCTCTGTGTGTCTCCAGAGAGAAGCCGGAAAGGGTTAACGAAAACGAACCCTGACAATAGTGGAAACAGTTCTTCATTGTGTGTTGGTTCACTGCTCCACAGGGCATAGCAGATGTTGTGTCTGGTAGTAAGAAGGGCCCAGGAGGTGTGAGCTGTCAATCACTATTCCTCTAACTACAGACTGTGCTATGGATATGAAGCAGGACTAAAACAATCTGTCTCAGCTGGGGTGTGTGAGGTATCAATAACCCTTGGCAGAGGTGTCAAGAGCCTTGCTGGAATCAAACTACCCTGCTGACCAGCTGCTTAGCAAGTTAACAAGCTCCCATTCACCATTCACAGGCCTCCCAGTGCAACAATTAACACAACTGGAGAATGACTCTGCTCGAATCCTTATGAATAAAGCCTTGCCAAATCTACCGGTTATTACTGATGCGTGGATATTTTACTCAGGCAGATAGACAGGGAGAAGGGAAAGACAACGGTGTTGCAATAGCTGAGTGGGCTGAAATGAAAACCTAATTTTGACCCTTTAAGGAGCAGTTGGAATGTGATCGATATAGTAAGAAAATGAGGGGGTGGGGAATGTTTTCGCAGGTCAGCACAGTTATGGGGTAGCACAACAGAAACAGCTTATGCAGAAGCGAAATTGTAGACATAAAGACAAATCATGAAATAGGCTGGCTGACCGAAGCCGGGAAACATTTGCACAAGTAGTCGTCCCCAACAATAATACTGCAGTTTTATGCAGCTGATGGAAGAAAAGGCAGCATAGTGAAAATGTAAAAATCTCTCACATAATGCCCTTAGATTCCATATTAAGTTTAGCTTGTATGGATTTGGATTCCTCTGCAGTAAAATAAATGAAGTTAGGATGTGAACTATGATATTGGTTGTTTTTCTTTATTTTCTAGGTTTCTTTGTCCCCCATAAGATACAGTTTCCTGGGTGGCTTTCAATATGTAAGTTTTTAAAAAAATTAAAGGCGGAGTATAATATTAAAATAAAAACTACGCAAAATACAACACAAGCAAAAGTGTTATCTATGTACTACATTAAATCTTAGAATGTTACAAAACTGTCACAAAATGATTTACTTTCCACGTGTGTTTGCAAGATCAAAACAAAGTTTCGGATCACATCCAAAGATGTTTTTATTTTATATAAGGTCAGAAGGCTCACCAAGGGGAAAAGTCTCAATTTTGCAGGGGGTTATCTTCAGATCTTTGTTCTTTTCCTAAACTCCAAGCATAGTAAAAAATGTTTTTCATGTGTCCTCCTCACTGTATTTCCCTTTTAAACAACAACAACCGAGAGTATTTGAAGCAGAGTTCACTGAAATGGCTTTAGGTCTGGGGTGCTAGTTGCTTAATTTTTCTGCTTTCATTACTATAAAAAGTCCAAACTATTGTCTCTGCCTATTAAAAATAAAGGGAGGGTCAAATAGAAGAAAATATTAGCTTTAAACAGAGTCGGGCAACATATTAGCTTCAGACATCTAATACTGTTTACCCTTATTTTGACACAAAATAGTGCTGATAGCCCACGAGACCTTTTAGGGCAGAGCTTTTCACACAGCAAAAGCTGTTTTCTACTACAAAAGCACAGCAGCTGTGGCTCCTGCAGATACTCTTAAAGGGCGATATAATAAAACCCTGGGAGGGAGTAGGTCGAGACAGGAGCATGAAATGGACGAGATGAAGATCCTTTGTCACAGTCAAACAGGCTGCAAAGTTACTATAGTAACATGCAGTATTACGCTCCAGGTGGATTGACTTACAGTTGCCTAAACAAAAAAAAAAGAGGTTAATATAAACCAAACCAATAATTATTATACATAATCTAACAAACTGTTTGCCAAGATGCTATTCTTTCTTCATTTAACCACACCATAGAAGGCAATGTGAAATTTGTTGTCTGTGATGGCAGGGCAAAAACAAATCTCCTTATTCCCATTGTGGAAACAATATGTGGATGTACAGCTGAAACAGGAAACACCTCATTCCTCCTTTATTCACACAGGAGTTGAACACACAAAGTTGTTGGGTTTTTTTGGCTGAGAATCATTTATTTTATTTTATTGTCTTCCAGGAGTGATGAAAACTCAGCACCACTTTGAAAATGAATTCAAACTGCAGTTTGGCTATTAAATCTTCCTCAGTTTATTAGTCCCAAACAGCAGGCCTAGGTGCTTTATAAAACCCTAAGATGGAATAGGCCATGCCTGAAATGCACCCAATCCTTAAAATAAACAAGGAATAGGTGGTAGGTCAAAAGAAAGATCAAAAATTGGCAGGGCTAGCAACGTGAAACCATCTCATCAGGCAATATCTATCAAATAGCACACTATCTTCTTGTGGTATATTTAATGTAGTCAAGAGTGGAAGATATTATTTCAGGTGCAAAAAGATCTAAGGCAAGTTGTTCCCAAACTCTTTTTTCGACCCCAGACCACTAGGAACTTGCTAGAGATGCTGATGGGCCGCTTAATGATATTTCTGTCCGTTGTAGCAATTGTAATGTGCTGTGGTAGATGCTGCATGATTTATAATTACAGTTTTACAGAGATGCTGAAGATCACCTAAACAAAGCTTGCAGGCGACAGTTTGGGAACTCCTGTTCCATGGCAATCAGTGGACACATGAGTAGCAGGCATGATGTAAAACAGAACGCAGTGATTTGAAGGGCAGATCAAAACATTCATCTAGGGTCTTTCAGCCTTTGCTGAAAAACTAATCTTTCTGTTTCGGAAGTTTCTGAGTTAAGAATATTAAATTGAAGAAGACACCAATGTGATATCTGCTTTGGAATTTCAGGGATGTTCCTTTACTTTCTCTTCCCTGAGAGAGCAATGCTATTTATCTACTTCATTCTGCAGGGAAGTGTAACATGCCTAATTAATATTTGCACACTGGGCTGTTTTGTAGCATAATGAAATCATATTCCTAAAGTGATGTGTAAGTGCAAATATTGCTAAACCCGTTAATGGCAAATATTGGGACAGGAGCTAGGCTGACAGCAAGCGAGCAAAGCGCTCCATCCCACACACTCCATTCACACAGATACAGGTAGAATGGCATGATACGGTGTGGTCCAAGGCTGAAATGCTCTTTAAAAACACCCATGTTACCCCCAAAAGGGAGGGCTTCAATCATTCTTCCTGAGTCTATTTATGACATTCATTCTTAATTAGATCTGGGGTTTCCAACAAACTTGCTTACGATTGAAACCATTAAGGCTGCAGTGCACCCTCTAAAGGGGAATAGGAGGCACAGCCAGTGGATCTATTCAGTGTGATGTCTGCTGCTTCTGCTGCAATACAGCAGTTGCCTCTGCCTCCTCCCCCCCCCTCTCTCTCTGTGTGTGTGTGTGTGTGTGAGAGAGAGAGAGAGAGAGAGAGAGAGACAGACAGACAGACAGACAGACAGACAGACAGACAGAGAAACATCATTCTTGAAATACTACAGAGTCCTTGATACTGCAAACCAAATAAGAATTCGTCATCAAAACCACTTGGGCAAAAGGTTTAAAAAATGGTTGCTATATTTTCATATACTTATTCTAAATTCAAATGCCTTCTTTACAAG